ATCCTTCCCTCTGGTTAATCCGCACGGAGAGGTGGCAGGTGGCAGGCGTGTACAGAACACAGAAGCCATCGTTCCCACAGCTTGGCTCTCATGACAAAAAACAGCTTACGATATCAATATGGAAATTATGTCCAGACCTTATGACTTAGAGTTTTTTGTTTTTATTTAAAGCAAGGGGTCGATGAGCACAATATGCCTGCTAGTGGTTATCTCTGCAGGGGAGGGAGGCAGATGAAAATGAGTGTGGACCATCCTCTCCTTCTCACATCAGGTGGGTTCACAGTGTTGAATTCATTATGATGCTTCCCAACTCACGCGGACTCCATGTACTTACTAGTTGTGTGCATCAAGCACCTCACGTGTGTATATTAGATATCACAGAAATCATGCTTTCACAAGCAAATATGCAAATATATCATAATATAAATAACTTTATGTGGGATTGGGCCTAAACTGGCAGTCGGACATCCCCCAAGGGGTCCCAGATTGGAGAGGGTGCATCTGTGCACGATGTTCATGCACAGGGCCTCTAGTAATATAAATAGAATAACTTTATTGAAGTTGTGATCATGAATACCCTGATTTTAACTAAAAGCTGAAATTAGCCAGGATATGAAAAGGCTTTGAGGAAACGTTGCTGTCTTCTACCACCAGCCAGGAACAAGCTAGATGAAGTTGCTGGGTGGTTTGGTCGCCGGCAGCGTCAGATGGCAGAGTCAGATGACCTCCGCTGACAGCAAAGGGAGGACGGGCTGCTCTCAAGAGACACAGTGTCAACAGTCTCCTGAGTGAAGCACCCCGTCCCTCCCTGCAGGCTTTTTTAATAAAAAATGTAGAAACAGATCGCTTCTCCAAGAAAACGAGGATGGTGGAATATGCACCCAGGAGACGGGCAGGATGCGCAGGAAGTGAGGGTAGGTAACAGGAGTCCTCCCGAAGCCAAATGAATTCCCCTGGGCAGACTCGACAGTCTGGCTCTGCTTATTACACACCCAGACGCTCCCAAGCTGCTCCCGGCTGCCTTGTGAAGTTCATCAGCACAGACTTCACCCACTCAGAGGGAGGTCCAGAAATAGCACTGTCTGGCCTAAAAAGAGAAGCATCTTTCTGGCGTGTGAGCCAGTGTGTCCACCCACTTGTACTTATTTTTCCCAAGTAACTACCGGTTCCTTAAGAGGGGAAGAATGACACATCCAGCATCCGCTATGTCACAACCTTGTGGCGAGGCGTGCGGATGGCTACGGGTTTTAAGAGACAGCCCTGGCTGGTATGGCTCAGTAGGTTAAGTGACGTCCCAGGCACTGAAATGTTGCTGGTTTGATTCTTGGCAGAGCACATGCCCAGGTGAGTATCGGAAGCAACAGATCAATGTTTCTCTCTCGCATCAATGTTTCTCTCTCTCCCTCCCTCCCTCTCCCTCTCCCTCTCCCTTCCCTTCTCTAAAATCAATAAAAACAATGTTTTTAAAGCAAGTGACAGAGTGTATATTCCTTTGCCACCCTACTTCTAAGTCCAAAACATTTTAAGATGTCTAAGGGAACCATCTCTAATATTTATATACTTATAGTTCTAACCTCCTTAAGTCTCAAGTGACAGGACGTGACAGGGGAAAGGTGGGAAGATGCAGCACTGTGGAGTGGCAGTGGCTTCAGGAGACAGGCTCTAACCCAGATCTGCTCCTGGAAAGTCCTCCATGTCCTTCCTCATCTATAACAGAAAGAAGATACGCTAAGAGTTCTACAACAAAGCCCTGTCTGAGACGTAGGGTGTCGTCACTGTCAGTTCCCACTGCTTCCGATACTGCCGTCTCGGAATAGTCGGTCAGTCACCATGTTTAGGGAAATTTGTGGAAAACTGCAAAGTTTAAAGAGGCTCCACAATAGAATAAACAGAGTCTAGAAGAAAGACTTAAGAAACCCATAGACTCTATGGCATAGAGGAATATATTGGTCAAAAAATCTCCCTCTCTGCTTGATTCCAACAGTTAGCATTGAAATGGGCTACCTCCAGATTTTTGATCTCTAAAAAGTTTGAAACATCACCCACTTATGATGATTTGAGAGTATTTCATAAAGTAATGGGAAAAAAGCAGACACCCTGGGATCAATCTCTCTAGGGTTCCAGCCAAGCTCCATGTAGCTGTGTGACATCATGTGTGTAACTTAATCTTTCTGTGTATTCAGTCCTCATCTGTAAAACAGGGATAATAATGGCTCCTACCTCACCTCACAGGACTATTGTGAGGATTCAAATAATAATGTACACAAAAAATACAGCAGTGACTAATCTATACTAAATACTTGCTGATAGTAGCTATTATTATTGTTAATATTTCACAGGCAGAAGAACATGTGTATAATTGATGCTCTCTGAAGATTCCTCTTAAATACCACACTTCAGAGACCAGGTCAGAATCACCGTCGTGCCAGGACCACTGTAGAGGAGAGCAGGGCAGGGCTAGAGGGAAGGGTTATGGAACCCTGGCGGCCAACCCTGGGGTGCACGGGACATAGCAAGAGGAGCTGGGGTCCAGGTTGTCCACTATACTCAGAATAATCCAAAGTCACAAAGTCAAAATAGACTTTTCGTATCAGAAAATACCCAATCTACTCATCATTCCAGATTCCAAGCTATGTCCTACTTTCGAGTTCTTACAATTCAACCTACCGACACGTGACCCTTCTACCATGAGCATGCAGAAGGCCAGGCCAACAACAATCTACTGTCTGGGGAGCTGTTTTGCTTATATTCCTAAACTACCATGACACATTAGAGTTCACCTTGATCCTTCAAATTAAGTGCTGTCCCACAGACCTTTTCCTATCGGCGCTGATCAACACAGTAGTGAGGAGCCGTATGTGGCTGCTGAAGTGACACCAAATTTTTACTTATTTCATTGTCATCCATTTAAATTGTAGAGTCACATGTGGCTAGGAGCTCCCATGTTGGACAGTGCAGGTTAGTCCACTGGGAGTGGCTGTCAGTAGGACTGTATTAAAGGGATCCTAATGACAGCCTGGCGCTGACAGGAAAAATAAGATGGATATTTATTAACATATCTATTTCAAACTAATTTCCATAAATCTTTTCATTGCAATGCTGCTTTGTTTCTATAGATGATAGATCAGACGTGTGTTCAGGACCAGGGATAGGCCTTAATCATATTTGCAGCCACAGTCACAGTATTTGCTCTCCTATTCCCTTCCACCAAAGAGAACCTCTCTTTCTAACATCTGCAGTGATTCTCAGATACTTGAGTGTCATTTTCTGCTCTTGGAAGAAATAAAATTGGCTGTAAAAAACCAGATTATGAAAGAAAGAAAGAAAGAAAGAAAGAAAGAAAGAAAGAAAGAAAGAAAGAAAGAAAGGAAGAAAGAAAGAAAGAGGGAGGGAAGGACGGAGGGAGGGAGGAAAGGAGGGAGGGAGGGAGGGAGAAAAAAGGACTTTCTGGCCGGTTTGGCTCAGTGGATAGAGCAGTGATGGCAAACCTATGACACGCGTGTCAGAGGTGACACGCGAACTCATTTTTTTGGTTGATTTTTCTTTGTTAAATGGCATTAAATATCAAAAATATAAGTCTTTGCCGAAACCGGTTTGGCTCAGTGGATAGAGCGTCGGCCTGCGGACTGAAAGGTCCCGGGTTCAATTCCGGTCAAGGGCATGTACCTGGGTTGCGGGCACATCCCCAGTGGGAGATGTGCAGGAGGCAGCTGATCGATGTTTCTCTCTCATTGATGTTTCTAACTTTCTATCTCTCTCCCTTCCTCTCTGTGAAAAATCAATAAAATATATTTAAAAATATATATATATATATAAGTCTTTGTTTTGCTATGGTTGCAAATATAAAAAAATTTCTATATGTGACACGGCACCAGAGTTAAGTTAGGGTTTTTCAAAATGCTGACACGCCGAGCTCAAAAGGTTCACCATCACTGGGATAGAGCGTCAGCCTGCAGACTGAAGGGTCCCATGTTCGATTCCGGTCAAGGGCATGTACCTTGGTTGCGGGCACATTTCCTGTAGGGGGTGTGCAGGAGGCAGCTGATTGATGTTTCTCTCTCATCGATGTTTCTAACTCTCTATCCCTCTCCCTTCCTCTCTGTAAAAAATCAATAAAATATATTTAAAAAAAAGAAAAAGAAAAGAAAAAAAAAAAAAAAGGACTGTATCCAGGATAATACTTAATGCCCCTCAGTACTTAGAGGAGAATATTGAGTTTCGGCAGTTTTACAAAAGTATATAAAATCAAGAGGGTTAAACCATCAATTATTTTAAGCTACGTTATAGGCCTTCCTCCAGTAATTTACAGATGTGTGCCATGACAGGTCATCAAAATGATTCAATAAGTAATATAAAAAAACCATTACACAGAGAGAGTAAACCACATTATCTATTTTAAATGAAGAAACTGTACCAAAGCCACTGCTAAAGAAACCACCAGGCCTGAGTTGAAAGTACCACATCCCCCAGCACTTTAAAAACAATACACTTTACTTTCTAAAAGAGGAACAGAACTGTAACATTCGATTGTGTCAAAAATACCACTGTACTGCCTCCATGAGATACCATTCTGGCCACTGTATGCAGGAATCAAAGAATGTCACGCACAACACCACCATCTTCCCTAGAGAATCCACAGTTTCTAACGCAGTAAGAATGAACTTCTCCTGATACAAATAACTATTTTCCAGGGGTTCTGTCTATAAAAAGTCATGTTGGGACTGCACCCGAGAAGCTGTATTTTACCCAAGGACCGGAGATGTTCATGAGCTGGTCCCATCATATTCTGGTGAGACTCTCACAGCCAGAAAGCAACCATCACAGCAAAATTCCAGCGATCGTATATTCAAATCAAATCCTCCCATATCCCAAACAGAAAGGCTGTCTTTGTGGGTCATCGAAAAATGAAATGAATGGTTGTGCTTTTTCTTGAACTAATAATAATACAACATCAAGTTGAAAATGAACACTAGGAAATCGGCGAGCACCCCCACGCTTACCTCCACCACTGTGGTTCCTGCAGCTTTGCACATGGGCAGGTTGAAATTCCGGGCGCTTTTCCTACACAAGGAAACGAGGAAAGGAGATCAAAAGTCAGAAGTGTCTCCTTCAACTTTAATTACAGACTAAAGGAATGTCTATAAACTAAGAACCTGCGAAATCTTTTCGGAAAGAGTGTATCACATCTTTTGCCGTCCTCTTTTTTCTTGCTTTTTATTTTTTTTTTCCAATTATAGTTTCCCTTCGATTAAAGTTCTATAATTATTTCATAAGTAAAAACAATATGATACCCACTTCACTTCACTCAATAATATAGCTTTTTATAAGGTTGAGGGGCTATTTTTCATATTCAACATGCAGATTTTACACAGAAAAATAAAATGGATATTAATACATCTATTTGATACCAATTTCCCTAAACCTTTTCATTGGGATGCTGCTTTACTTCTATAGTTGAATACTTCATTAAACTTGCTCTATTAAAATAGTAAGGGAAAGTAGCAAGGACTTTATAGGAGAGGATACAGTATTTCTATTCTCTATTAAGGAGAAGCCTGCTGCTGAAATTAAGTACAACATTCATTGGGAACTTGTGAGTCATCTGCAAAGGTCATCCTGGGAAGCCAATTTCCAATGCAAGTACAACACCCACATCAGACACGGAGGTATGAAAATTTCAAGAAGGTGCCAATTTCGCTGATGGTTTTGCATTCCCAAGTTCCTACACCAATGTACTTCCTCTAACCATAAAAATGTATATATATGTTTGTTTCTGAGAGTGTACATTGATAAAAAATCTTCTTTGATAAAGAGCACTAAGTCACACTATGGTTTACTGGAGCTTTCAGGCCACCGATGCCTATTTCACTTGGATTCAAGGACAGGTGTAAGGACAGGTGTGTCCTTGTGTGCTCCCAAGGCAGAGTGGCACCCCCACTTTAACCTCGGCCAGACCTCTGCACCAGGTGTCCACTCTTCTAAAGTCAGTATCTTAAGAATCGAAGTGACCTGACCATGGGTGAAATGCGCTTTCATTTCACATCAAAGCGTAATGTGTACTTGAACCACCAGCATAAAGCCTGTGCTTAAAATAGCCCTGTGCAGTGCTTAGATGCCGGGGCCAGGCAATGGAGCATGGGATAAATTCGTGGAAATATTTTGAATAATTCATCTCCATTTGCTGCTATACAATTTCATTGCTTTTTTTTTAAATAGCAATTGAACTTCGCAAACAATACACCAATGTGTCAAGTGCGATAGATATGATGCAAAATGTCTTCTGTAATGGCCAAAGTTAGCTGTAATTCCAAAAACTGATTGAATTCAAGAAATCAAACATAGTATACATATTATAAGTTCTTCAGAAATGAACAAAAACAGTGTGAGAGTGGTCACTGAGTATTTAGCTGTGATCGCACAAAAGCTGCATTTGATAAAGATAAAAAATTGCTAACTAAAAGCAATAAATGACAATATTATGAGAAAAAAAATGATTTCTATAACCTAATAGGTGAAATTTTTAATACCAAACATTTTGAAAAAGTTTTTTAACTTTATGCATATATTGAAAGGTGGTATAATTTTAAAAAAACAACAACTATATAATCTATAAATCCAAAATATTAAATACTTAGTGTTAAGCAAGCTTATGATAATCAAAAGATTTTCAAGTCTATTAAGCATATGTTTGGCCAAGCAGTTAATGAGAATAGAATTGAGCACTATTAAGGTAAGACTTCTGGTAGACAGCAATAAGACCAGAAAAGGCCTGACTTAAGTAATTACTAGCAATATCTTTCCAGAACATCAAAGTAACTTGGGCATTTGAAGACAGTGCATGTAAATAACAATCTACAATAATAAAAGCATAATATGCTAATTAGACCAGATGTCCTTCCGGACAACCTTCCAGACGAAGCCTGGGCTATGAGGGAAGCCCGGGTTCTGGGTACCAGAAGGAAGCCGGTGCCAGCACCCAGGGGCAGGAAGGCCTACTCTTGCATGAATTTCGTGCATCAGGCCTCTAGTATCAAAATAAAATGTAATTGTGTGCTTTTCTCACGTTTTGTAAGCATGTCAATATTGTAACAGGTCCTGGCAACTAAAATACATGGAGGAAAACATAATTTGTATGGGACTAAATTCAAGGGTATATAGGTGCAAATACTTAACAAGCAGAGCAACATGGACATCCACCAATCAGAACAGACACCCGCCAGTACTCCGAAACAGTGAGACTGCTGTTCACACACACACACACATACATGCACACGCACACACGCGTGCTGCTGTTTATTTGCAGCCATTTTAAAATAAAATTTTAAATACCAAACACATCAAGATATCCACTTTGTAATCATAACTTAAGAAATATTGAAATATTAAGTTGCTGAAATGCACTACATTAGTCTTTATTAAGGCCATCACACTACCTGAAAATGATGTTTCCTGCACGGTCTGCCTTCCAGGCTTTCACCAAGGCAAAATCCCCTGTAATCGCTTCCTCCAAAATAAAATGTTGACCATTGAACTCCCTCACCTGCAGGAGACAAAGGGGGCGCTGTCAGGTATTTGTACGGCTGCTGTTTGGTTGTGATATGAGCTCTGGTAAAGGCAGATAAGAGGGGCACAAGCTTAGCTGGGAAAGGTTTCTCAGAGAAAGAAGAATCTAAAGGGAGACCCGAAGGATGAGTGTGGTAGGCAACTGGGACTGAGTGAAAGTGCTGGAAGGGGGAACTGAGGGAACAGCATGTGCAAAGGCTCAGTGACAAGCAAGCGCTCGGTCAACCTGAGGAACTGAGCTATATGACTGTGTATGTCAGTGTTCATTTTATTACTTGTGTTTATAGGTTACGTATTGAACATAATACCTGTCCCTTTTTCCCCGTTCCCCAAGGAAAAAACTGTGCAATGTACTGTTTATATAAGTGAAATGGTTCTGCCCTAGCTGGTTTGGCTCAGTGGATAGAGCGTTGGCCTATGGACTGAAGAGTCCCAGGTTCGATTCTGGTCAAGGGCACATGTCTGGGTTGCAGGCTCAATCCCCAGTAGGGGGTGTGCAGGAGGCAGCCAATCAATGATTCTCTCATCATTGATGTGTCAATCTCTCTTTCTCCCTCTTCCTTCCTTTCTGAAATCAATAAAAAATATATTTTAAAAGAACAAAAAATAAATGAAATGGTTTTAAAAGTCCATTCACCTCTCTTAATTTTTTTTTTAAATATATTTTATTGATTTTTTACAGAGAGGAAAGGAGAGGGATAGAGAGTTAGAAACATCGATGAGAGGGAAACATCAATCAGCTGCCTCCTGCACGCCCCCTACTGGGGATGTGCCCACAACCAAGGTACATGCCCTTGACCGGAATCGAACCGGGGACCCTTGAGTCCACAGGCTGATGCTCTATCCACTGAGCCAAACCGGTTAGGGCCACCTCTCTTAATTAATATATAATCATCTGTTGCGATTTGAATTGGAATTCCTAGAATTTGTAGAGGAATTTAGAGAGAACTGGCACACTATATGGTCCCACCCATAAGCACAATATTTTTTGAAGTCTCTTTTACTTCTTTCAATAGTTTTGCAATTTTCACTCCAAAAGCTTTGTATATGTTTTTAGGATTTAGTCACAGGTTCCTCATAGTTTCTGATGCTACTATAATGCGATATTTTATTCTATTATATCTTCTCTTCTGGTCTAATGGAATGCTATTGACCTGTGTATGTTTACTGCCGTTAGTTCTACTATGAATGGAGGGGTCGGGGTGAAGAAGGGAAGAAGCTTAAAGCAAAACTATGTAACGGCCCTGGGAACAACGTGGAAACTGTGCTCCATCCACACTATGAGGATGGGAGCCATTTACACACAGCACTCCATTCCCATTACCACCGCACCCCCTAGTGGACAAACAGCATAGGTTTATAGAAAGCTGCCATAGAAAGTTTGGGTACATTAACTTCTTTAACTATACTATGGTTTAAAACTAAAATTCTTTCTTTTTTAAAAAAAAATTCTTTCTTAAACAACAGCTTCCTTAAAGACATTATCCCACCTTCCTTCTAGAAAATATTGAATTTATGAAATCAGTGATGAATGAGGATCTCATTTAATAAAAACTTAGGCAAGTTATGTAAAAGATATTTGTAAATTGCACATCAATATCTAGTTTTTTTTTAAAAGGGTATTATGTATTTAAGAGTCATTACTGTGAGCATCAATGATAATGTTTACATATGGAGTATTTTACATACAGATCTAGAAAACTACATATAGATCTAAATATATGCTAACCCCGGGAAAAGTAAATTTTTAAAAATTGGCTTTTTAAATTTTAATTATATAATTTCCTGATGATCTACGCACTAGCAGTTGGTGAATTTTAATTATTATTCTAAAATTTTAAGAAAAGGGAAGGAATTGGTTTTGTCTAACTGGCCACTCTACTCATTTGAAAGACTTGTGCATTTCATGGCCTCAACTTCATCTTCCAGTCCTTTCTTGAATCCACTCCAGTCAAATTTTCATCACTCCAGAAAAACCCTCTACTTTAAAAGAATTACTCTTTAAAGTCACCAACGACCTCTGTGTCCAGATCTGATGGTCACTTCCCAATACGCTATTACCCAACCTTGGCACACGCTGACACATTTGATCACACGCTCCTTTGTAAAATGTCCCACCTTTCAAATCGCCTGGGTTTCCGCTTCACTCACTAGACACTTTCCCATTCTTTTTTCCTGCTCCTTCAAGGCCTCTTCCCTACCTTTATATGCAAACGAGGTGTTCTCTCTCTGCTCTCCAGCCCCAGCCACTCATCTAGTCCCAAAGGCTTGAATACTCTATGCCGATGCCTCTGAGTTCCCATCCCGAGTGGCGCCTACTGCGCGCCTCCTCTTGGAGCACGGTGGACGTCTTCAACGCACCGGTCTCTGCCAGAGCTCTTCGCTGACCCCCATGCCCAGCCCCTCTCAACAAGCAGCATACTTGATTCTGTCTTCTCTTCCGGCCACCACCAACCCACCAGTCAATTCTGTTGGCTTTACTATGAATATATACCCCTATTCTAACCACTCCTCACCAATTCCACTTTGCCTTCCCACCTGGATTAATGCAACAGCCTCTTAATCCCTTTCACTGCTGCTGCTCTTGGTCCCTGCAAAAAAACCTCACTTCCCCACAGCTACAACTTGCCAAAACGTAGCTCAGATCACATCACTCCCCCACAACTTTCCGCTGGCCGCTCACCACTCTCAGTAAAATCCACACTCATGTGATCTGGCTCCTGTCTCTCTTCAACCTTCAATCCCACTGCTCTCAGCCTCACTAACTCTGTTCCAGTCTCACCACCCTGCTGTTCCACACACAGGGCAAGCCTGCCTCCGGACCTTGTCCTCCTTCTGCCTTCTGACTAGATCACAACACTGTGATCTTTGCCCAGCTTTCTCCTATTTTATTCAGGTCTCTCTACCAATGTCACCTTCACAGTGAGGTTTCCCTAACCCTACCTGAAACACTGCCTTCGTGGCCACTGATCCCTCTCTCTGTCCTGGCCCTACTTAACTGACATGTGTGTTTGTCTATTCATTCCCTGTCAGTTCCTCTACCACAGGGACGACTTGGTCTAGACCCCCCTTTCCAAAGTTCCTGGGAAAGAGGAACTCAACAAACGTCACTGAATTAAGGAATTCACCCACTTCCCCTTCCTATGATAAGCAAGGGAAATAAAGAGCTAATAGGAGTTGTTTCAAGACAAAAATTGCGAAACTACTAGATTCATGCACCCGACTCAAGGCAGAAATGAACCCAGATATTCAGGACAGAGTCTAGTGCAGCCGTGGGCAAGCTACGGCCCGCGGGCCGGATCCCGCCCGTTTGAAATGAATAAAACTAAAAAAAAAAAAAGACCATACCCTTTTATGTAATGATGTTTACTTTGAATTTATATTAGTTCACACAAACACTCCATCCATGCTTTTGTTCCGGCCCTCCGGTCCAGGTTAAGAACCCATTGTGGCCCTCGAGTCAAAAAGTTTGCCCACCCCTGGTCTAGTGTATCTTGTGTTTCCCAGGGTGAGTTAATGCTAGTGAGCTCCTCAAGTATTAACCCAATTTTCTGTCCATCTTTACCTATATTCTTAAGATCCATTGTAATAATTAGATTCTTGCTTTTTACTTGGTCAAGAACTTTTGAAGTTTAATTAGGCATTAAAGATAGAATATCAAAAATGTCAACAAAAGCCAAGGTCACCTTGATCAGAACGGCAAGGCTCCAGGTAAAGGGCTTGCTCAGAGGACAGCAGGGCACAGGTTCGCGGACCTTGCATCTTCCCTCAGAAAGGGGGTGCAGAGCTAACATCTCCATGAGCAGAAAGTTGATAAGAGATCACCCCTTGATTCTAAGTGTTCACTTTCCTAGCGACAAGCTGAGCATCTCTGCATTCTGTGCTCACTTCCTGGAGCCAGGGGGGCATGGAGACGGGAAAGATGCTAAAAACCCAGTCATGAAATATGGGCCTGTGTATGCTTAGAAGTTGCCTCAAATCTAAGGCACCTCAAATATCTAGAGTTTATTTAATGATAAGCTTATTTAACATATTTTTCAAATTATTATTACTAATCATTTGTTTGTTTATTACCTTTTTGAGGGACTAGGAGCCTGTTTGAGTTCTATGCTTTCCTAGTATGTGCGTGAAGTTACCCCCTATCCAGCACTTTAAACAAAATGAAGTTATTCAGCCTATAGCTCAAGTGTGTCCAGTATACAAAATGAAGGTGATAATGTGAACTCCCCATTCACTCCACTACAGAATCCCATATTTTAATATTGAGGATAAACTTGGGATTGCCTTGGCTTTTTCTCATCCTTCAATTGCACAAGAGGCCTGAGCAGGAAGCCTTTAATAGCATTTGTATCAGGCAGCTACTCTACCTTTAATAGCATTTATATCAGGCAGCTACTCTACTTTTAATAGCATTTATATCAGGCAGCTACTCTACCTTTTAATAGCATTTATATCAGGCAGCTACTCTACTTTTAATAGCATTTATATCAGGCAGCTACTCTACTTTTAATAGCATTTGTATCAGGCAGCTACTCTACCTTTAATAGCATTTATATCAGGCAGCTACTCTACTTTTAATAGCATTTGTATCAGGCAGCTACTCTACTTTTAATAGCATTTATATCAGGCAGCTACTCTACTTTTAATAGCATTTGTATCAGGCAGCTACTCTACCTTTAATAGCATTTATATCAGGCAGCTACTCTACTTTTAATAGCATTTATATCAGGCAGCTACTCTACTTTTAATAGCATTTGTATCAGGCAGCTACTCTACTTTTAATAGCATTTGTATCAGGCAGCTACTCTACCTTTAATAGCATTTATATCAGGTAGCTACTCTACCTTTAATAGCATTTATATCAGGTAGCTACTCTACTTCCCTCATAAGCATAATCAGCAACTATGAAGACTCCTACATTGGTAAAAATTCAATCTTAACTCGCACATCTTACACAGTTGCAGTTTTTTCTCCTTTACTTAATCTGGTTTCTCTGTATGATTTGAATGAATAGCAGACGCTCAGTTTTAGCTGGAAATCATACCTAACGTATTAATGCTAACGAATGGCAGTGCTTGTTCTCACATAGAGGTGGTTTTATACCGATTTCCCCAACGAGTCACCAGAACCCTGTGCTCCCAGTGGGGTCGGGTGTCCCCTGGATGACCGCGTCCTACCTCTCGGGGCTTACTGGCAATGGCGACGCTGCCATCCTTGTTGTACTTGATCGGTGCCCCTCCTTCTTGCACCAGCGTCCCATAGCCTGTGCTGGTGTAAAAGGCAGGAACTCCAGCGCCGCCGGCACGAATCCTCTCTGCCAGTGTGCCCTGCAGGTGAGCAAGCAACACCCCACAAGGTCAGTACGCATCCCTCTGCATGTGGACACAGAGCATTCAGACACAGTGCCTACTCTCTAAAGGATTACCATTCCAAGCAGTACCTAGCATGGTAAATTGGTGTATTTCACTAACAACATATGCTAGGAGATTAGTTTAAAATAATTACTCCCTCTCTAGATAACAACCTTTCTATTCTATTTTTTTCTCTTTTTTTTTTGCTTTCTTTCATTAATTTTTAGAGAGAGAGGAGGGGAGAGGAAGAGAGCAAAACATCAATGTGAGAGCAGCACCAATGGGTTGCCTCCTGTACACACCCCAGTTGGGGACTGAACCTGCTACCCAGGCATTGTCCTGACAGGAAGTCAAACCGGCAACCTTTCAGTGCACGGGACAATACCCAACCAACTGAGCCATGCCAGCCAGGGCAGCCTCTCTATTCTTAATCCACAACATGTAACTGCTTATTCACATAATCACACTTTCACCTTCCATGTCACCTGCTGGCTTCAACAACATGTTCAACATCAGTCTATTTGTACTATTTTTAAGTGAGTTTTCAAATCTGACACATGTAACTTCAACTATATATATTAAAAATCACAAGAATAAATTCTGGATTTTACTGTGTGTGATATGCAGGTATGGCCTGAATCTTATCATCAGTGATAATAAATGATTATTGTAGAATAATATAAAATGTTCAAATTTATCTAGAATGTATTCTAAACCATTCTCGTATTTGATCTACAATATTATCTAACTAAGGAAAAATCCAAAGTACAACATATAAGTAAATTGGTTGTCATTTTATTTTTATTTTTTAATATACTTTTTATTGTTGACAGTATTACAGATATCACCCCTTTTCCCCACTTTACTCCCTCCTCCCAGCTCCTACCTCCCCCTCCCCCATGTTTTCACTATGCTATTGCCCATGTCCATGGGCTATGCCTGTAGGTATATAAGTTCTTTGGTTTATCTCTTCTTATCCCCCCAACACCACATCAAGGTATGTCAGTCAGTTCCATGCCTCTCTGCTTCAGGTCTTATTGTGTAAATTGGTTTTTAAAAACCAAGAGTCCTTCAAATTTTGTTTCAGAGGACAAACAGCTGTAGGCAAAGTTTCTTTGTATCTTTCATTGGTCACCTTTCATTTCCCAGCTCCCTCCCACCTCCAACTGCCTTTCCACGGAGTCTGCCAGAAGGCAACAAACTCCAATAACACATTCCAACACCCTCTCCACCACTGAGGGCTGTGGTTACGGTCCAGCTACATCCTAGTCACGCTGGACTGCTAAATGGCTAATCAGTAGTAAGAATGAGGTTAGGTATTAATGGCAGGGTGTTAATATTGTCCCAACCTGAAACCAATGTTCTACTTTAACTGGGACCTAAACTCAAAGAAGGAACTAATGACTAGCATTTGAAACACTGAGGCATTCAAGCACGTGGGATATTCTGGGGAAGGAGGGACCTTGGGGCTTCACTGAAAATATGTATAGATAAAACACTATTCTACCCTATCCAAAGGATAAGATGACTGTACTCTGTGTTCCGGGTATTTTAAGTTACCAACGTGCACAAAAATTCAATCCTCAAACCAGCCCTAGGTTAGAATGTGTTTTATGTCCACCCACCCTAAATGCTTCACTCCTTCTGTGTCCCACTGGGCAAGAGCCTGAAAACAGAATGTTTCTGCAGGCAGGAGTTCTGCAGAAACCACCAAGCCCCACATCCACCCCACAGGGAGCCCTGATCCCCAACTCTTCATCTACACTCCCTCCTGACTCTCAGGCCACCAAACAAGTTGCCACTACATTGAGGAGGGAGACCCTGACCTCTTCAGCTTAAAGAAAGAATGTAAAAGAGATATTAAGGAAGCTTTTCAGACCAAGATAGTAGCGTAGGCAAACACGCCTGTACTCACAGCCTCCCACAACCACATCAAAATTACAACTAAAATACAGAACAACCATCATCTAGAACCACCAGAAAACTGGCTGAATGGAAGCCCTTCAACTAGAAAAGTAAAGAAGAAAGCACACTGAGACTGGTAGGAGGTGGAGAAGCATGAAACAGGCTGGTATAGCACCCACATGTGCCTTTTTTTAATTGGGAGGGACACTGTCTCTGCAGAGGCCACCAGGAGGAGCAAGGAGTCCTAGCCCCCCACCAGACCCACACCAGGGTCCCAGAGCTGGGAAAAGAAGTCTCTGTGGGCAGTAAGAACTATGAGCTGTAAAAACCAGTGTGGATTGGGGCTCAGTGACACAGAGGCTACTAGAGACCCAACTGTCCCTCTTAAAAGGCTGGCACCACAAACTGAACTTACAAAGTCCTGCTTCTTCTGAGCTCCAGCACCAGGGTGAATCTCTGAGGAACACAGACACACATGAGGAGGAACTGGATTGTCTGGCATAGGGGCAGGAACTCAGGGGTGGCTTTCTACCAGACAGAGGTGCTCACAGGGATCATTGTTCCTATACTGGGACCTCCCTGGTCACAGGGCTGACTGTCAGCTTCTGTTTGCTCCACCTTGTTGATTCCCTGAGACCCCACCTCATTCAATTTACAACCCCACCCAAGCTGTGTGCAGCAGCTGTTGCATATGAATGACCTGTCCTTGCTCAGGCTAAAATCTCTCAAACAAGCTGCAGATGGGTCTGGGAGCCCCAAATCTATCAATAAAAGACCCAAGACTCAGTACAGCACCAGCCTGCCTTGCTTCACAGTTGGGCCTCATGTGAGCACTTCCAAACCTGATACAAAGAGGAGGAATCTGCAGATCTCTGCAGATCTCTCTGTAGCTCCTGCTGAGTGGCCCCAGGCAGTGGCTGACTTTACTCCTCCCTGGAGACCCAAGAGCCAGTGTCAGTGTCAGACCATACAAGATTACAACTCTACACATCCATAAGCAACACACTCAAGGGGCAGACTCAGTGAGCACCAAAGCCCCATTGAAGCAAGTCCTGCTCCATAAGGGTATCTCCTGCACAGCAGCTCTCCCACTGTAGTCGCAGCTGGTCCTCACAACCAATTGGCCTGGAGGTCAATTCCTCCCAGTGACACCAACAGCAATCAAGGCTCAACTACAACAAAACTGTGCACACAGCCCACAAAGGGGTGCACCTAGAGTATCCATCCCAAGTGATTGGGGAGTCTGAGCCACCGGGTCCTATAGGACACCTACTACATGAGGCCACTCTATCAACTCAAGGACACATAGCAGCTCTACTCAATACATAGAAACAAACAAAGAGAAGCAGCCAAAATGCAGAGACAAAGAAACATGTCACAAATGAAAGAAACTGAAGAAAGTAAACTACTGAATATAGAGTTCAAAACCACAGTTATAAGGTTACTCAAAAATCTTTAGAAACCTCCAAGGGACTTAGTGAGACCTTCGAGGATCTTAGTGAGAATGCCAAAAAAATGGAAAAGGACCATTCAGAAATTAAGTATACACTGACTGAAATAAATAATACTATACAGGAATTCAACAGTAGACTAGAGGATCCTGAGAATCAAATCAATGATTTGAAATATGAGGAAGCAAAAAAACACCCAACTAGAGAAGCAAAAAGAAATAAGAATCCAAAAATGTAAAGATGTTGTAAGGAGCCTCTGGGACAACTTCAAGGGTACCAACATCCGCATTATGGGGGTGCTAGAAGAAGAGAGTGAGCAAGATATTGAAAACCTATTTGAAGAAATAATGACAGAAAACTTCCCCTACCTGGTGAAAGAAACAGACTTACAAGTCTAGGAAGCACAGAGAACCCCAAACAACAGGAACCCAAAGAGAGCCACACCAAGACACATCATAATTAAAATGCCAAGGGCTAAAGACAAAAAGAGAATCTTAAAAGCAGCAAGAGAAAAGCAGTTAGCTACCCACAAGGGAATGCCCATATGACTGTCAGCTGATTTCTCAACAGAAACTATGCAGGCCAGAAGGGAGTGGCAAGAAATATTCAAAGTGATGAATAGCAAGGACCTACAACCAAGATTACTCTACCCGGCAAAGCTATCATTTAGAATGGAAGGTCAGATAAAGAGCTTCACAGACAAGAAAAAACTAAAGGAGTTCATCACCACCAAACCAGTATTATATGAAACATTAAAGGGTATTCTTTAAGAAGAGGAAGAAGCCCTGACCGGTTTTGCTCGGTGGATAGAGCATCGACCTGCAGACTGAAAGGTCCCGGGTTTGATTCCGATCGGGGGCATGTACCTTGGTTGCGGGCACATTCCCAGTGGGAGGTGTGCAGGAAGCAGCTGATCAATGTTTCTCTCTCATCAATGTTTCTAATTCTCTGTCCCTCTCTCTTCCTCTCTGTAAAATATCAATAAAATATGTTTTAAAAAAAGAGGAAGAAGAAAAAGATAAAAAATATGAACAACAAAATGGCAACAAATACATACCTATCAACAATTGAATCTAAAAATCAAAGTAAACAAATAAGAAATCTAATGAACAGAATAAACTGGTGAATAAAATAGAATCAGAGGCATGGGAAAGGAACAGACTGACAATTCTCAGAGTGAAGGGGAGTGGAGGGGCAGAAAGAGATTAAACAAAGATATTATATGCAGCCGAAACCGGTTTGGCTCTGTGGATAGAGCGTCGGCCTGCGGACTGAGGGGTCCCGGGTTCGATTCTGGTCATGGGCATGTGCCTGGGTTGCGGGCACATCCCCGGTGGGGGATGTACAGGAGGCGGCTGGTCGATGTTTCTCTCTCATCGATGTTTCTGACCCTCTATCTCTCTCCCTTCCTCTCTGTAAAAAATCAATAAAATATATTTTAAAAAAAAGATATTATATGCATATATGCATTACTTATGGACACAAACAATAGGGTGGTGAAGGCCTGGGGTGGGGCAGGACCCAGGTAGAGGGAGGCTAAGGCAGGGGGGAGGAACATATGCAATAATCTCAACAATAAAGATTTTTTTTAAAAAAAGAAATATTAAGGAAGTTCCTCTCCCATGTATATGCCCTCTTACAAAATAAGGAGGAATGCAAAAAATATACTAGGCTAATTTTCAATAGCTCCAAAAAATGAAGGCTAAGGTATCTCAACCTATAATATAAAGACCCATATGAGTTGACCTTTAGGTAACCCTCAAACATTTCAGCAAGTCCTTTTGCATGCTTCCAGTATAATTTACATTCTAGTATCAAGCTTTAAAATTTATCCTGCTACCTAGAGATCTTCATCAGAAATACTTCCTTTTTCTGTTGGATAGCAACAGAAAATATTAGATGCTAGCAATCAACAGGTGGGTGGGACTACGAAATAGCATTCTCTCTGCCTTACCCATCTTGCACAAAGACATTTCTAGGGAGGAAAAGGTACATTTTAAAACAAGTTAGTATTGTAAAAGAAAAGCAGAGTGTCTTCTTACCTGAGGTGTCAGCTCTACCTCTAATTCACCAGATAAGTACTGTCGCTCAAATTCTGCATTTTCTCCCACGTACGAAGAGATCATGCGCTTTATCTGCTTGCTTCGAAGCAAAAGGCCCAAGCCAAAGTTGTCAACCCTGGAGGGAAAATGCAAACAGCTTACAACCAAAGGGCCATCTGATCGAACACTAATGTCACTTACATTGAAAAACATGCAGTTGTATTAATTTAAAGGAATCCTATCTACGAGGCATTGAACCCACATTCTCTCTCAGCCGCCCACCACCCAAAGAGCGCTGCAAGGTGGCTATACTTTCTTATTTTACAGTTGAGGAAACTGAAGCTCAAAACATTTAAGTGATTTTTTTTTTCCAAGATCTTGGGTAGTGACACCAGCCAGTCCTCAAACCCACATCAATCCTACAGTTCGATCCCCGCACCTTCCATTCTTTTTGCTGCTCCAAAGTGACCCTGGTCAGAAGATGAGCAAGAGATGGACTGGTCCCTGCCCTACACTTCAGACCCAGGCATAAATGCAGTGCCACTGACCCTAACCTGCACTGGCCCCAGAGGAAGGCTCAGATGGAGAAAGTCTTTCTGTCCAAGAACGGGGTCAGGAGCATCCTCATATTTAAAAGACAGAACAGCAGACTCTTGAAATATGGACCCAATTATGAGCAACTATGAATATTTTCCTTGTATCATAGATATACAGTGAGATGATGAAGACCCACTCCAGAACCCTGGCCCTGGCATGGGAAACAGTGGAAGGGCACAGGTCTGATGATGGATCATTAGTGACATCCACTTGTTTGAAAGGAGGCAAGTAGGTAGGAATGGTGCCCGTATGACAAGCCCCTGACATTTCTCCTGGCCCTTTCTCCCATCTTCACTCCATTCTCCATCCTCACACACACAAGTGGCGGTTCCGCTCAACTGACCATCTCCTAGTTTTCAGAATGGATCGCTTCCAAGCTCCTAACCTCCCCCAGGCAGTTCTGACACCTGAATACTTCAAAGTAATCCAGGTGACAGGTAACTGCCAACCTTCTTCTAGATTTGTTTCCTAGTCCCAGCCTTCCAATACAGAATCTGATAACATTCCCCCTCATGGTTATAACAAATAGCCACATGGTTTATTCTCACTTATTTCAAAAGAAAACTAGAGCCTAAATCAGTGATGGCGAACCTTTTGAGCTTGGCGTGTCAGCAGTTTGAAAAACCCTAACTTAACTCTGGTGCCGTGTCACATATAGAAATTTTTTTATATTTGCAACCATAGTAAAACAAAGATTTATATTTTTGATATTTACTTTATATATTTAATTGCCATTTAACAAAGAAAAATCAACCAAAAAAATGAGTTCGTGTGTCACCTCTGACACGCGTGTCACAGGTTCGCCATCACTGGCCTAAATAATGTTTGCAAGTGTACTTTTGCCATACGCGGAGAATTCCCTGAAGATTAATAATACACTTGTCCAGCAGAGGGCCCCAAACACTAAAGAGTCTCTGTGTCTCTTAGGAAATTAGTTCTTGGGCGCACTCTCATACACATAATGCTGTGTTTGGTTGGTTTAGTTTTAACCTACTCCTAATTAACACCTAAGCAGGCCCTCACTTAACAATTCTTTTCCCTTAAATTCAGCTCCACCTGCAGCCTGCCCCTTCTCACCCAATGGCAGCACCCCATCCTTAGAGATCTTAAGCACAAACTAAGGGGGTGAGCTTTGACTGTCACACACTGTGGGGGCATCCTGACTCCGCCTTCAGAATCTATGCAGAATCTGAGCCTGTCACTCTCCCTCCTCTGTGACCTACACTGTCGCTTCCCTGGACTCCTCAGTGATCTTCCCAGCTGCTACTCCTGGCCCCTATGATCCTACTCGCCAAATGACAGACAAAAATACAGGCACAAAATAAAACGTCCAGTCATGTCACGCTCTGCTCAAACCCTGCAATGGTATTCACTTATTCAGAGAAAAAGCAAAGGTCTCTGGAGTGGCTGGGCCCGTGTGATGGGATGCCCAGTCCTGTCTCAACCTCACTCCTCCCAGGTCCTTCCCACTCTGCCTCTGCTGGCCTTCTTATACTCACATCCTGCCCTGGGTCCTTCACGCTGGCCTGTCTGTGTCTCCAAACTCCTCCCCAAGATCACTGCATGGCTCACACAGGTCCTCCCCCTACCCCCCACTTCCTTCATGAATCTGGCCAGCTGCCCCTCCATGAGTCCTGCCTGGATCACCCATCTTATACCGAAACCTGCCCTCCACCTTCATGCTCCCAATCCCCCTGGCTCTTGTTCTTCTTCGTGTAGCACTATAACCTTCTAACACACTGGCAACTTACTTATTTTGCTTTGTTTACTACTGTTGCCTGCCTCTGCCCATTGGAAGGTTAGGTCCACAAAAGCAGAGAACTTGTCCTGTGTTGTTCATGGCTGCACCCCCAGCACCTGGCTGCATACACAATACACAGAGGGCACTAGAGCCACAGCTGCTGAACGACTGGCAAATGCATGACTTGCTTCACTTCCCCCTCCTCCCTGGCTCCTCTCTAATAAAAATGAGAGTCATCAAGTCCTTATGCCAGATATTTTCTGTTTGCCTCCTGCATCCCCCAACCCCACATCCATTGAGCTGCCCTGAGCCGGGGCTGCCTGACCTGTGTGGACGGAATCCTGGGCCCTGCCCTCTAGTTTCCAGTTGGGGTCAGCCACTGCTGATGGGGTCCAGCCAATGGGAGGCACCATCAGGAGGATGGGGTGAGACGAGAATGATGTCAGGATCTGTATTCCCCTGGCTCACTCCCTGGCTAAGCTGCAGCGCCCTGGAGAGCCCTCGCCCTAGAGCAGCGGTTCTCAACCTGTGGGTCGCGAACAATGAAAATACATCCTGCATTTCAGATATTTACATGACGATTCATAACAGTAGCAACATTACAGTTATGAAGTAGCAACAAAAATAATTTTATGGTTGGGGGGTCACCACAACATGAGGAACTGTATTAAAGGGTCATGGCATGAGGAAGGTTGAGAACCACTGTCCTAGAGCTTTGTTTCAGGTTCTAACAGCTCCCTCCCCTCCTTCCACCAGGCACAGGGCTGCTGAGCTCTGCAGCTTGCCTGTTCTCAGGCTGCTGGTACTCAGGCTGCTGGTACCCAGGCTGCTGGTACCCAGGCTGCTTTCCAAGTCCTGACCATTCCTCTAAACCAGCGGTTCTCAGCCTGTGGGTCACGACCCCTTTGGCGGTCGAACGACCCTTTCACAGGGTCCGCCTAAGACCATCCTGCCTATCAGATATTTACATGGCGATTCATAACAGTAGCAACATTACAGTGATGAAGTAGCAACGAAAATAATTTTATGGTTGGGTCACCACATGAGGAACTGTATTTAAAGGGCCAGAAGGTTGAGAACCACTGCTGTAAACACAGTCCCTTTGGTAAGCTTTCCTCAGTTACCCAATATGAGCATCCCACTGATAGGCTCTGGAGCCCTGTCTCAATTACATCCTAACATAAAATAACCCACGAAGGTGGATGCAACCCACTTGCTTTCTGTAGCATTAAATATCTGACCTCCCTCTCAGCGCACAACGCCACACCATGAACCAGAATACACTGAGTCATTCATTGACCTGGGGATTTTCCTAACCACTTCCCCAAACTCCTTGGGTCTCTGTTTGGCTTTTCGATGCATTACACACTTGAACTTGGCCCTGTCTGGAGATGACCTCTCTGTATTTGTTGATTCTGGCTCTGGAAACCATGTGTACTTGTTGGGTTTGTTTGTTTTTCTTTTCTTTTCTTTTTTCTTTACTTTATTTCTGGATTAGGGCCTGGCATAGCAATAAGCAGGTCACAAGATGTTCGGCCGGTGACTGCCTGCCTGGCGCACAGTCAGTGTGTGCCTCCAAACACGCTGCGAGGCAGCTAAGCGTCTTTCTTGCCTATGATGATACAAAGTGAAAAAGGCAAGACCCTTCCTCACAGTATAAGAGAGAAAAGAGACAGCCATGATCTTTTGCAAATGAGGAACATACTAATTTTCCTAGAGAAACATATATTAAAGCATTTTGCAGCTTTGCAGTAAAGGTAATTCTGGTGAACTTTCAGAGTGACTCTCGCTTGCCCTTAGCAACCAGCAGCTTACCTGCCCAGAGAGAGTTAACCTTTTCCCTGCAGCGCAACACTCAGGTCCCAAACACGTGAGTGATGAAAGAAGTCTAAATCCAAGAATGAGTTAAAGAGATACATTCATGTTCTGCAAATATTTATGAAACTGATTTTCGTTTTCTGAAATCTCATTGAACTGGCTATTCTGGCCAAAATGAAACTCTGATAAGAATGACATTGCAACCATTTACCAAACTACCCCTTGCTTACTCGCATTTTAGACATCCTTAAATCTCATCATACAAGTTATTCTTACTCTGATCATCTCAAGAGTATTAAAAGAAAAGACAGTGCTGTCTTCAGACATAAGGTTGATTGATGACATAGTTATATGGGAAACGTGAAATCTTCTGTGAGCCAAGCACACAAGTTCAAGGGCATACCCCAGGGGAATGCTTCCAATCAGCCAAGAGGGCCTAGACCTCCCTTCAGCCCCCCCAGAGACGCAGCTGCCTCAACAAAGAAGAACCGGGAAAGCAATGGAGCCACTGTCTGTCTCCTGGTTCAAAACCAGCAGTGCAGAGTCAGCCATCTTATTTAGAGGTCCTCACAGAACTCCTACCCTGGCCAGGACAGCACTGCACCCAGGTGACGGCACTGAACTCCCAGGCACAGGCACCTCTATCACCAGGTAGTATTTGTTCGTCTCCCACAGGGAAGTGGGGCTGGTCTTGGAGTTGTCTAAAGCCCCACCCTCAAGAACGGTAATCAGGTAAACAGCCTTGCATAAAGAAAAGGGCAGACTAATACAACACGTCCATTCTCTCCTTGGTGCTGCAATTTAATTGTTTGATACATAGTTTGTTGTGAAACTTTGGGTTCACACAGGCCTGCAATTCATATGTTAAAGTGTTCCAAAAATCAACAGAAGGCACATTGTCAGTTTTTCCTATCTTCCTAATCAATCCACATCAAACTGATCCCAAAAGAGGGGTTAACTTATCTAGACTAACAGGCGCTGCTCCACAGCGAGATAAGTGGTGCCTTGGGGCAACAGGTCTTCCTGATCATTAAAAACAAATGAAACAAAAACCATCAGGAGTCCTGCGCTTTGCAAAGATTTCCAAGTCAGGCAGATCTTTCCATAGAAAGAGCCTTTTTCTAAATGAGAAAATAATAATTACTTCTAATTCCAAAGTCTCTCCATTTACCCAATATTTCAAACCATGTCATTGGCTCTCCGATGAAGCAATGCTATCTGACTCAGGTGGCCTAGACAAAGCCCTAACTACTGTAGAGTAAGGGTTTACACCCCCTAAGCAGGAGCATCAGTGCCTGCAAAGGGCTTTCTGTGTTCCATGAAGTAGGTGATCAGTACCTACTTTGCATCGAGAACTCATGCCTGGCTGGTGTGGGTCAGTGGTTGAGGTCACGTTTCAATACCCAGTCAGGACACATGCCCATGTTGCGGGCTCAATCCCAGTAGAGGACATGCAGGAGGCAGTCTATCAATGATTCTCTCTCATCATTGATGTTTCTAACTCTCTCCCCCTCTCCCTTCCTCTCTGAAATCAATAAAAATATATTTTAAAAGAATTCATATATTTACACCGGCCTTGTAAGCACTGAGCTATCTGGAAAACCCACAAAGTACTGGTCACCAAAAGTATGTTTAATAAATACAAAGTCAGCTCAAAGGGCACTGGATGTGCTTAAGAAATATCAAGTGACCGTGAATAAATTACTTCCCTATTTACAGATGAGTTTCCTCTGTTACACGAGGGAGCTGAACAGCTGAGCGCTACAACCCTGCCCAGCTCTGACATTCAGTGACTCTGAGCACACAGTAGGGACAGAAAACCACTCTGAGTAACAGGATTGGCCTGCAATGTGTATCGAAGAGAATAAATACATTTCAGGATACAAAGAAAAGCTAAAAGTTTCCAAAGGAATTCAGAAAGGGGCAAGAGAAGTTTTATACTTGGATAAGACTTCTTTGTAGATATGTAACTTAAGTCAAATTCTGAAAAATGGGGAAGATGTGGATACACAGAGAAGAGGTGGGAGAACCTTCCAGATGAAAATAATGTCATAATGCATATAAGCCAAACCAATGGACATGGACAACAGGGGGATGAGAGCATGGTGGGGGGGGGGGGGGGAGGTAATTGGGGGGAATGAGGACACATTTGTAATTCCTTAACTAATAAAGAATTTAAAGATTTAAAAAAAATAATGATGGCATAAAGAAACGCAGCAAAGGAAAAATGAGCAGAAATGTAGGATCAGTTTTGTATCCTAAATAACCTGTGCTATTTGCTCTAAGCTGAATTTGTGAGTAATAGGTTATACTGCAAATTCAGTTAATTAAAGAAAAATTGTTTAACATGTTTAGTCCTTCATGATTGACAGAGAGCTGGTGATGATTGTCATTTTGTATAAAAATAGCTTTTTCCTTTATAACTAAACATACCGCCCTAACCGGTTTGGCTCAGTGGATAGAGTGTCAGCCTGCGGACTCAAGGGTCCCAGGTTCGATTCCCGGCAAGGGCACGTACCTTCGTTGCAGGCACATCCCCAGTAGGGAGTGTACAGGAGGCAGTTGATCGATGTTTCTCTCTCAATTGATGTTTCTAATTCTCTATCCCTCTCCCTTCCTCTCTGTAAAAAAATCAATAAAATATAACTAAACATACCTTAAGGGCATGTCATTCATTATTAAAATGTTTTGGCTTTGTGTTGACCGTTTTGATATGCCATCCTACTGTCTTAAGTGCTGCTGCATATCCTCCTCCTTCCACTAAGACAAGCAACCTTTTTAATGATTAACGATGTTCCTTACATATCACCAAGAGTAATGGCATAATCCAGTGAAAGGACTTAAATCAGGCTGCAAATTGATGTCCACCTTTCCTGATACAACATGCAATAACATACAACATAAAGGAATATCTCTAATTTTTAAAATGCAGGAGTCAATTTAAAAATATATATTTCAACTTTACAGTATGTTTGAAATTAAAATAAAAGCACATCAGATTAAGATACAAAAAATTATGCAAGTCTCCTTTACTTATGATTAAGAAGTATGATACCATCCTAGCCATTTTGGCTCAGTGGATAGAGCATTGGCTTTCGGATTGAAGGGTCTCAGGTTCAATTCTTGGCCCCAGTCGGGTGCGTGTGGGAAACAACCAATCAATGTGTCTCTCTCACATCGATGTTTCTCTCTGTCTCTCCCCCTCCCTTCCACTCTCTCTAAAAATCAATGGGAAAATATCCTCGGGTGAGGATTAGCAACAACAACAAAAAAAGTATGATACCAAAAGTATTTGAATAGATGGAACCATGACTCCTGAGCTTATTAAACACTATCTTTTGATGTGGGAGCATATTGCTCATTTAAGGGGGAAAACTTTCATTTCATTGATAGACTGTGTAAATAACATGGAAAATTGTCATTCCCTTCAAACCAATGGTCTTAAAAGTGCACTCACCCTGCATTGTTGCTGACTGCGGTGAGCCCCTTGACTCCGGTCTTCAGTAAAGCTCCGATGAGATTCTCTGGAATGCCACACAGCCCGAAGCCTGTAAGAAGCCAGAAAGGTCAACCGTTTGTGAAGAGAGGAAAGTTGTTTCAGGGAAATGTGTGTTATTCTCTTTTAGTAAAAAAGACAGTCTATAAGCACCTATGTGACCTACTAAGCAAAATGCACAGCATCTCAGCAACTCAAAAAATAGACATAAAGCTGATCCCAAATGTTTGACACCAACATACAGCACCAGACATCACTGTCCAGCCCTCAATTCATGAGTATAAAGCCAAGCATGATGTGGTAATATGGCTACACACCATTCTTCTTGAACTTAACTGTATATGGACTACTGCCCCACTTTACCATTTAACCCTTATGCAGTCAGGGTGCTACCATCGAAAGGAAAACAACACTATTACTCACCACCAACCAGGATCTTTGCACCGTCAGGGATATCTTTTACAGCCTCCACTGGATCTTTGTAAAATTTGGTATAGCGACATGTGCTGGTTGAAAAATAGCAAACACCTCCCTAAAACATTAAAAAAAAAACATTTTAAGTAAATAATCATTTGGAAATATGTCTTTACTTGCATAGCAATTTATTCAATTTTTATGTATACAAGGACAGTTTCACTATGTCCTCTTTGAAAGAGTGGGGCTGTAAGTAATTTATCTTAAGAGTGAATGAAGCCGAAACCGGTTTGGCTCAGTGGATAGAGCGTCGGCCTGCGGACTGAAAGGTCCCAGGTTCGATTCCGGTCAAGGGCATGTACCTGGGTTGCGGGCACGTCCCCAGTAGGAGATGTGCAGGAGGCAGCTTATCGATGTTTCTCTCTCATCGATGTTTCTAACTCTCTATCTCTTTCCCTTCCTCTCTGTAAAAAAATCAATAAAATATATTTAAAAAAAAAAAGAGTGAATGAAGCCCTAGCCGGTTTGGCTCAGAGGACAGAGCATTGGCCTACGGACTGAAGCATCCCAGGTTCAATTCCAGTCAAGGGCACATGCTGAGGTTGCAGGCTCCATCATCACCAGTAGGGGGTGTACAGGAGGCAGCTCATCAATGATTCTCATCATTGATGTTTTCTATCGCTCTCTCCCTCTCCCTTCCTCTCTCTGAAATCAATAAAAATTAAAAATAAAAATAAATACTGGTAAATAAAAAGGAGTGGAAGGGACACACTCTATCCAGATTATCACTGGAGTACCCCCATGATCTATGTCTTCTATTATACAAGGGACAATGCTGGGATATTTATGGCCACACAAAAATAGATGGCCCAGATACTAGCACTCAAATTCCAAATGTCAAGATCAAGCATCGATTTCTGATAGTAACCTAACCTTCCATTCAATCCACAAATACTTACTGAGAGCCTACTATAGGCCAACTACTGTGGTATTGACTGCGACCTAGTCAGTATTGACTGCCGCTCTCAGGGAAGTACAGCATGACCAATACTACCTGATCCAACAATGCTGGGTAACAGAATGCCTCCTAAAGGAACAAGTAAAGAACAGCACACAAAATGACTCAGCCCCCTCTGGGGCTTGGAGTTTGGATGCTGTTGAAAAGTAGTAAACGATTACCTGCAAGGGAGGCATGGCTAGAATTACTGTCACCTCGTCAGCTTTCAAAATCCATTTCTAACTGTTTCTGTCTTTATACTTCACCCACAATAGGTACAGGACAAATTGGGAAGCCCATATGTTGCACGCAATCACTCATCCTCAACATCTCTTTTTAGTTATATCAAAGCTCTCCTTTAGTCTCATCATATACTCAACCCGAATAGAGGAAGGAGAGAGAATGAGACCTGACTCCTGACACGCGGCCACCTTAACAAGCCCACTGCCAATCAGCCTCCCAGACAGACATCCCGGTGGGTGTAGGTAACAGCATAAAAAAGCATTTCTTGGATTCTCCTCAGCCTCTAAAAACTCCTGTTAGAAAAAGTGTCACTTAGTACAAAAGCCTACTTAAGAAAACTTTACTGGAAGTCAAATGAGATTTGCAGAGGTGGAGGTCACACGGATGACTTTTGTCCCTTTAAATTTCAACCGTGGTCAAGGTCAGGCAGGGCATGAGGTAGGCCTGGCACATCACCCAAACACGGGGAGCAAGTGGAGGCAGAGACAGAAAGGGCCTTCTTGTCTTCCTTATCTTCAAGTACCAAGGAATTTTTTTATTCTGTTTTAAACACACACATACACAAATATATTTTTAATCTTGGAAATTAAAGGTTTGGAGCCTGAGTAAATAGGTGAACAGAGTGCAAAATAGAGTTGAGGATATCTCCTGAAACAAGAGAAGAGAAAAATACACAGTTACATAATCCAACCAACTCGTTTTGCAGGTCACGCTTCCAAAGCTTAGGAAGATCTTGCTGCGTCCCCAGCACTTTTGAAGCAGGACCAGGTCCCGGGTGTGTGCCTTCTAGCACAAGGTCCTTCCACCACCGCAGCTCCCCGTGGTCTTTAAAAGTCCTCCATCTTCTTCTACTTCTATTTCACTGTTTATACACAACAAACCTTTCTGAGTGTCCTGCTTTCTCAAGAAGAAGTCTGCTGTCAATCTCCAGTGAGGAGTCGGGATGAGAGGAAGGAGATGAAAGATTTGTCTGCAGGGGTGGTATCACCCTGACTATTTACCCACGGAAAGAAACACAAGTCCTGTGGCGAGGAAGTCAGAAGAAAACTCGTTTCTCCTGAGACCCAGAGAACTCTTCAGATTCACGCAGCATAGACTGGGCAGGGCCTCCAATCCCTTCTTTCAGCGGATAATTATGTCTTCATGCCAGTCAGAAATCATGGAGGAGCTGGACCCACACCCCCAGAAAGTTCCTCAGAAGTACTTTATTTTAATTTTTTAATCTTTTTTTTTATTGTTTTCAGAGAGGAAGGGAAAGGGAGAGAGAGATAAACATCAAATATGAGAGAGAGAGAATCATTAATCAGCTGCCTCCAGCAGGCCCCACACTGGGGATTAAGCCCACAACCCAGGCATGTGCCCTGACCTGGTGGGGATCAAACCATGACCTCCTGGCTCATAGGTCAATGCTCAACCTCTGAGCCATGCTGGCCGGGCCCTCAAAAGTATTTTAGAAAAGACCCAAGAGTTTCACATTTACCCCGATAACCAAGAGTTTAAAAGCAATAAAAGTGACTCATGTTTCTAGGGACTGTGAGGAGAGCTCAGAACAATGAAGACTCTACAGGCACTCAAATTTGTTTTTTTCATTTTTCATACATTCAGTTGACAGCATTTGTTGCCATTTAATCCACGTGTTATGCTGACATTTGATATCTGATGGTTGAGAAACCAATGGTGTGGCATAATAGGCCACACTCCCCATCTCCAAGTCAAGGGAGTACTGCCAACACCTTCTAAGATTAGGCGGGGGTGGGCGGGTGGGGGCGGGGGGGGGGGGGTGCCTCTAATAATATGCTGCTCTCACACTGACCTCTACCTTCTAATATATTCTTAATACCAAAACAGTGATATGAAAAGACCCAAGCACCATCTGCTAAATAAACAAAGAACCTTTGAGTTTGCATAAGTTACCTAAAAGAATGAAGAATAATGAATTGTTCAGCTTTGACATCTATTTATTGTGAGATAACCCCCCCCCCCCAAGTCCTCCTTTATGTTCCCATAATGTATTTCATTTTGCTTTTCCACTCTCTTACCTTCGGCAAATTTCCATGTTATTATTACTACTATTTCTGCTAATACTGTTGGGGGAGCTAAATAATAATGACTCAGCACTGAAGTGTAAGAAATAATCAAAACTCTTACAGTGCAACATTTTTATATTTCATCCATTTCTCCTTAAGATAACTTTTGTCTACAAAGACCCTTTGCCCTCTACATCACATTTTTACACTTGACCTTTGAGGTTTGATCCCACTGTTGAACCTAAATGTTATCACATGACTTCCCAATCCAGAATCTTTTTCCTCTCTAGCCACTTCTGCCATATTTCTTGCCCCTAAATTTCTCTTTTTCCTACCACTCAATACCCCAGAACTTAATGAAAATGCACTTCATGGAAGACCTTTCAGGGAAAATCCAAAAAGCACACTGCTTTTTCATTTTAAAATATATTGTATCTTAAAGATATGGAACTGTACACCCAGCTATTTACCTTGTCACCTTCCAGTTAAATAAGTCAGGACATAGGAACACTGATACTGCCCACTTCAGTATCAAAGTTTGATTAACAGAAACAGGGAAGAGAGGCCACATGGAGAGGTGAGGAGAGCCCTGTTAGAAGGAACAGGCAGTAACACGCAGGGATACACACACCCCCAGACCTGCAAGGATGAGGATGGCCATTGCCAAAGGAGGAGCTGATGTGTGCTGACATGCTTTAGCTGTGCAGGGGAGGGAAAATAATTTTCCTTCTACCCTTTTACGGTTCTTTTGACTGCTCTGATCATCAAATTGACATGAGACAGGAGAAAACGATCAAACTTATCATGTACATATGGGGGTTCCACTAGAACGGTGATGGCAAACCTTTTGAGCTCGGCGTGACAGCATTTTGAAAAACCCTAACTTAACTCTGGTGCCGTGTCACATATAGAAATTTTTTGATATTTGCAATCATAGTAAAACAAAGACTTATATTTTTGATATTTGTTTTATATATTTAAATGCCATTTAACAAAGAAAAATCAACCAAAAAAATGAGTTCGCGTGTCACCTCTGACACGCATGTCATAGGTTCGCCATCACTGCACTAGAATATGGGATCCAAGGAAAAACTGGGCAGCTGAGGCTTACATGCTATCTTGAGCTAAAGAAAAGGAATAGTGGGGGGTGAGGGGACATCAAAGGGCAAGAAGGCAATTCACATGGAGATGGAAAAGCATATATTTGGTAAGTAAATGTTTGCTGGGCCATCTTTAAACAGTGAGACCCACAGAGGACATTGGCCAACTCCCCGTCTGTCACACACTCGCTCACATCCTAGCTCTGTCTGATGTCTCCCTTCCGGGAGCAGGTCCTCTAGCTAAAGTCTTTCAGGCAGTTAGGGGGGAAGTCAAAGGTTTCTCCTGAGTCCTTCCTTAAAAATAACCAACTTCAAATAATCAATATCCCAAAAGAAAGCATATATGGGGTGGCAAGCTCTCCTTCCTCTCAGCCATCCAGCACGAAGCCAGTGTGCCCAAGGTGGAATGTTCGTCTTAAACGAAACACCGTCAAGCCCGCACTTAGGACATGAATGCATCACAAGGCAGGCGCTCACAGGGAGTCACTAGCACCAGGGAATTCCCCCAGCAGTGGCAGCCTTGGCGTTCGAGGGGACACCCATGTTCGCTTCCAATGCAGGTGCGATGCCAGACACCGGGAAGGAGCGCAGACGGAGGGATGCTTCGCGCCTGGTGCACCAGGAAGCTGGAGGGGCTGTCCAGGAGCTACCTCACTGATGCGGGAGGGAATCCAGGAAGGAGCAGCTGCATGCGTCAAGGTCAGAGAAGGGAAAGGGGCCCAGGGGGAGAGGCCAGTAGAGCAGGCTGGAGACGGAGAGGCAGACTGAGGCAGGCTGTTCAAGGCCTTAAAGACCACATTAAAGAGTTTCAACTTCCTCCTTCCCTGAGGAAAGAACAGCAAAGCTTTTGAAGCAGACAGATGTCACAGTTATCATATAAAAATCTACACTGGGGATGTGGCAGGGGAACTCATTGTTTCCTTCATCCATCTGCTTTTTCAAAAATAACTACTTTGTATCGAATATAGTAAATACTGGGGACAGTGCTTTAAAGAAAATACCATACAAGCATACCAGTAGTCCCTGCTCTGATGAAACTTGCACACTAGCAAAGCTAAAAGTCACTAAATAATTACAACATTAGTATACGTGACACCAGTGATCAACTAGGCAGTGGTTCTCAACCTTCTGGCCCTTTAAATGCAGTTCCTCATGTTGTGACCCCCAACCATAAAATTATTTTCGTTGCTACTTCATAACTGTAATGTTGTTACTGTTACGAATCGTAATGTAAATATCTGATATGCAGGATGGTCTTAGGCGACCCCTGTGAAAGGGTCACTCAACCCTCAAAGGGGTCCTGACCCACAGGTTGAAAACCGCTGCACTAGAGGTAGAGAAAGGAGAGGAGAGAATGTTTTCAAGCTTACACACTGGATTGACACTGGTCTGTTAACCATAAAGAAAATGAAACAACCCTAACCGGTTTGGCTCAGTGGATAGAGTGTTGGCCTGCGGGCTGAAGGGTCTCAGGTTCGATTCTGGTCAAGGGCATATACCTTGGTTGCCGGCACATCCCCAGTAGGGGGTTTTCAGGAGGCAGCTAATCGAACTCTCATCAATGTTTCTAACTCTCTATCCCTCACCCTTCCTCTCTGTAAAAAAATCAATAAAATATATTTTAAAAAATCAAAGCAAGGGAGGGAAAAGCCATATTGTGGCTGGTTCCTTCTGATCAGAAAAGCTTGAAGTGCTGAGTGACCTCTAGGCGGAGCCGACCAGTAAGCTACCCTAGAAGGACTGCAGATCAGCAGTCTGGGGCTGGAGAAAGGTCTGGGAGAGATAGTTACAAGGAAGAGAGGTCGCTAAAGTGTTAATGGCGATTTTTCCCCAGTAACAACTTTCTATAATGAATAGAGGAAAGAGTACTAAATACTCCCTCTGAAGTAGTAATGGAGAAGATACCTTCAGATAGTCCATTCTAATCTAAGTTCTTGCCAGTGGTTCTGAAAGTGCAGTCCTCAGACCAGCAGCCTTAACATCACCTGGGAACTTTATTAATGCAAACTACGGGACCCCACCCAGGACCAACTACATCAGAAATTCGAGGGGGGGCGGGGTAGGGGGAGTCTATCTGATAAAGCCTCCAGGTAATTCTGATGCACGTTCAAGTTTTATAGACTTGCCTATTAGAGATTTAAAAAAACAACAACAACACTATCTCGTTTTGTTGCTTATGTTTAGCAGAAAAAAATCTCAAGACTGCTACTTAAAGGGTCCTCCCAACAATGCAATAAACATGTGCTGCATACCTAGTCTATGCAGGGTAGTGTGTAAAGCTGAAAGAGATGGGGCATAAGGCATATGGTCCTTGCCCAAAAGGAAACTTGCATCCGGTTAAGCCGACTACACACCTGAAGTTAAGCAAGTACACATGTAACCATTTAACTGACGTAGGAGGCAAGGATTTAAGCAGCACGGGCACTTACTAAGTGCCAAGCGCTGGAGAAGTGCTGGGAAGCAGAGCCTGATACGCAAACCTGAACGTGAGAGTCTGAATCTTGATAGGAACTTTCAAGGACAAACTGCAAAACCCATAATGTGTAGCTCGGCCATCTAAGCAGAGGTTTCCTGGGCTTGGGCATGGTTTAATGGTATACCTAAAGGTGAGAAAATGAGTAAATTACACTTAGGTAAATAAGTAATCGCCATGTGACTGACCTTGGCCCAAGGGCCTCTCCCTATAGTGGTTTGCATCCTGGCATGCCTGCAGCAAGTCAGTGCCTGGCTGAAGGTCGGGTTCCCTTTGAAGAGTGCCCCACATATCCGACGCTATCTGCAGTGACCAACATAAGAAGCATGTAGGGGTCAAACGTTCCCGTTCTCAGTCATCCCCAGCATCTAACTAAGGGGCCCGCTGCAGTTACTGCTCTCGGATATTGGGTGCGGGGAGGATAGGAGAGGCGTGGGCCGGCCAGGAGCTCTCAGTGAGCAAGGCGCGCTTGCAAGCTCAGAACTATCACTCCATGCGTTACTAAGTAAAAACATCACTTTTCCTTTTGCCTTCTTAGAAAGCGGTTCCCATGGTTACAAGATAGCGGCGGTAAGTCGCCCTCGGGCCCCAGCGCTCAGGCCCAGCTCCCGCCTCGAGGACTGCAACTGGAGTCACCTGAGCGGGGGCTTCCCAGCTGGGGCAGAGCCGGGGGCCAAAACACACAAGAAGCAACGAAGGGACACCACTCGGTGGAGAGTTGGCAGTGACGGCGGAACAAGGATGCCAAAGGGCTTCGAAGACGGAAATCTTCCAACCGGGATCCCAGGGGGACGTCGGGGGGAAGGGCCGCCGGCGCCCGAGGAGCGCGAGGGAGCCCCGGCGGGACCGCGGCCGACTTCTCCGCTCGCTCGGCAGCGAAGACGCCCCCCCCCCCGCCCCCGGTTCCGCTACCCCCCGGCGGGCGGCGCAGCCGGGCCATGTAGGGGAGGCGAGCGTGGGCTCGGCACCGCGTCCCCGCCGCGCCCAGCACCCGCCCCCTTGGCGGGAATTAGCCTGAGCCCCGGCCAAGTCGGCGCCGGGTCCTGGGCCCCGAGATCCGCAGCGCAGGGCGCACACCCACCCGCCGCCGCCCGCCGCCCCGGAAACCCGCGCTCCACGCCGGGACCTCAGCCGCGCCGCTGCCGGAGCAGAGATGCGCGCCCGCTCGCCCCTTCCCCCCCTTTCGCGCGCTTCTGGGCCTCGCCTGGTCCCTCGGGGAGCCCACGCAGGACCGATCCTCCGAGGGGACCCGAAAGGGCAGCGCGGCAGGGAGGCGCCGGCGCATCTCGGTGCCCCGGGGACGGCGCCCCGGTGCCAAGCCCAGGGCGGGTGCCCGCGGAGCAAACGCGGCAGCACTCGGGGTGTCCCCTGCGCTTTTCCGTGACCCACCTCCCAGGCACTTTACCTTGGATCGGGGGCCCCAGGAGCCGCGCGCCGAGGCGCAGAGACGTGGCCAGGAGCAGAGGAGTCGGAGAGGTGCCATGACGAGCGGGGCGGGGAGGCGGCGGCGGCGGGAGCGTCCCGAGGCTGGAGGCGCCGGGCAGCCGCGTCCCTGGAAGGAAGGGAAGAGAAGGGAGGTGCGGGGGGCGGGCTGGAGGCTCGGCCGCGAGTTTGTGACGTCCGGGTCCTCCCGCGCAGCGCGCCTCGCCCCCCTCGGCGGCGGGGAGGGGCCCGGCTCGCTCTTTTTCCGGGTAAGTAGCTGGTTGGCGAGCGCTCTGCCACCCTAGCCCCTTGGTCCACAGTTTAGCTTGGAGGGGGGCACGGTGTCTGCTTTCCCAAGGTCAGGGTTAAGTCTGGGCATTCGGGCGGCGCAGGACTGTCACTTGCTGCTTTTCCAAGTCAGTGCCTGGCACGTCGCCCCCCTACTTTCCCTCTCCCGTCTGTACGGCGTTCTCCAGTCTTCCATTTCTCAGTCGCCTCTGCCACACTGGCCCTGCTTTGTGTAGCGAGTTTGCTCTGAGGACCTTCTGCCATGCGGTGTGACCAGGCAGGCCTGGGCAAGGGGGACAAGAGGAGGACTGGACCTCTGGGACATCTCCCTACTCTGCCCCATCATTCACGTCTGTATTATTTTTTATTTTTTATTTTTTATTTATTTATTTATTTTCAGACTCTTCCATCCTGGCGTCCCGGAAAGCCCAGAGATTACTCAGCAGATGCAAACCTACAGGTGTGGATTCCTTTGATCTTAGTGTCATAACTTTATTCTAAACCGAATTAGGATTGCTTATTATTCTCAGAACTGTCATTAAGGTTTACATAAAGTAATTCCTGCAGAGCTTCTGGCCCCGTTATAAATACTCCCTGGGCAAATGTGAGGCGGATTCTAAGTGTTCTCAGGTGCAATGGTGAATGGGCATGGCCTTCCCTTTGCACCAGTGGACCTCCGGAATGAGGCCCAGAAACCAGGATTTTAAAAAGATTCCCAGGTGATTCTAATGTGCAGCCAAGGTTGAGAACCACTGCTTTAGACCAACGGCTGGAGGACATGAGCCAAGTCTGATTTCTTCAGGACCCTATGCACTTAGAGTGGGAGGACCAAGTGGAAACACAATGAATGTTCTGTTTAAGGGCTGACCAAATCCTAGGAATATGGCTGTTCGTTTTGAACCAAAGCAAAGCAAATAAGATCATTAAATGCGACCTTAGCTTCCTTAGCAAGTAAACTAAGGCAATGACCAATCACAGGCCAGCTTAACTTGTCCCTAAAAGCACTTCCCTTTCACGGTATTCTTTTAACTCTGAACTGTCCTCCCCCCATGAATATAATTTAAGGGAGCAGAATGCCAAGTTAGACTATCCAATTACATAAGAAGAAATTAACTTAGTAATGCCCGATATTTTCAACAGAAGTTGGGTAGAAGGGAAATCCAGGTATTGGAACTAAAGTCCCTTTGCGAGGCCTGCTGCAGCATGTCGCAGATGTGGCAGAGACTGAATGTGACAAAGCTGACAATCCCAACTGGTCCGCTCCCCACTCTCGCCCTTCCAGAGGGCACACGAAATGGGAACTGGCCTTGGCAGCGTTGGCCTCGGTCAGATGACTCGCTCTTCTTGGCGGCTCTTACTGTGCTCCTCCAGAGGAAAAGACTCTACATCTCATGGAAAAATCAGGCTCTTCACTCTATGCCCAAAACATGCTGTACTCTTCTTTGATGACCTTATGCGTTCTTTTTGTACTTTTTAAGTAAAATGTGAGTATCGTCACCTGGAACAAATTGCAGGAAAGATCTTCTGGACAGATTTCCCCTCCTGGTTCCACAAAGCCATTTCCCTTTTAATCTGTGTACAAACCTACTTTTTAAAATGATCTGAATGTTTCTGAACTAGCAAGAACAGTTCCTCCTTGCTTTGAAGGGTAATTTGTGGCAAGTATAGCATATTCTGGAAGCTTTTCTTTATGTAATCATGTAGAGCTTAACTTCCACATTTTTTAAAAGTGGGATAATTGAATTGAATTCAAAGCTTTTAAGCAAAAGGTCTGATTCCAGACAGACAAGGAGGAAGGTTTACTTGTATTATTTTATATATGACATGTATTATGGCATATCTGATATATTTATATATACATAAGTTTATATATATGTAAATGTATATACTATATATACCTCTTTCTATCAAATGAATACAGGCAATGTGCCAGAGTTAGTACAATTGTAAATTGTCATTCTCTACTTGAGGGCTTTTTATTTAAATTCTCCTAAAATATAAATTAGCATCATCTCTCATTATTGAAAAATAGGACATAAAAACAAAAAATGACATCCTGCCTTCACATTAGGTGGAGTGTTCCTCCAGGTTGATATTGAGGATATATGAATGCTTATTTCTCAAATGTGGCTTGACTGGTTTAACTAGTAATAGGAGTTTTTAATTGGGTCATAAAAAGAAGTATGAATGCTCCCTTTCATACAATGGTCCTTTATATATAGAAAAGAAATTTCTGCCCTAGCCGGTTTGGCTCAGTGGATAGAGTGTCAGCCTGCGAACTCAAGGGTCCCAGGTTTGGTTCCAGTCAAGGTCATGTGCCTTGGTTGCGGGCACATCCCCAGTAGGGAGTGTGCAGGAAGCAGCTGATCGATGTTTCTCTCTCATCGATGTTTCTAACTCTATCCCTCTCCCTGCCTCTCTGTAAAAACTCAATAAAATATATTTAAAAAGAAAAGAAAAGAAATTTCTTTGGACAAATATTTCTTCTCTAGTGGATCTGAAAGACATAAGTTTGAAAGTTCACATGTATCTAAATTTAAGCATTGTTTAATAATGCAAATCATCATCCCCTAATATACCTATTTTGTAAGCTTGTTATTTTCATAGATTCTTTGAAGCATTGCCTTGTATGAAAAAATATGTTCTTAATAGTTGTTCGGTGGATTAAAAAGTGAATTGTTTCTGTATTTTTCTTAGAGGAAAAAAAAAAAGTAAAATAAGTGCTTGGGATTGTTGGAGAAGGCTCAACTGGAATGAAAATGTACATTGTGTTAAGGTTCCAACCCAGGCTCCACAAACCATCTAACCTTAGGGCCTTCAGAAATACTTTCGAGTTCCACAAATATTATGTTTTGAAAGTATATATAAACTATTCTGTTAACTCTAACAAAGCAGTAGCATCTACACTCAATTGTAGTGTAGCTTTGATTTTAACATATTAAAGATTACCAGATGATGCAGTTGGGAGGCAGACCTCAGAGTAATATATGACAAAGTTGGCCTTTTTAAGCAGTAGAAAAAGATGAACAACTCCCTACATTTGGGTTAAGACAATTCCCTGTAAATTTTAAAAAATAATAGATCTTTATTATCAGGATAAATATAAAAGACAATCCAGGTTGCTTGAGTTACTAAATATATTTTAGAAGGTTATTATGCCACCACTGAAAAATAAAAAAAATTTGCCAAAGCCGGTTTGGCTCAGCGGATAGAGCATCGGCCTGCGGACTGAAGGGTCCCGGGTTCGATTCCGGTCAAGGGCATGTACCTGGGTTGCAGGCACTTCCCCAGTGGGGGATGTGCAGGAGGCAGCTGATCGATGTTTCTCTCTCATCGATGTTTCTAGCTCTCTATCTCTCTCCCTTCTTCTCTGTAAAAAATCAATAAAATATATTAAAAAAAAATTTAAGTATGTGTGGAAATGTTTAGGATAATTGTAAAAGGCAGAATTTAAATTGTGCTATGTAATGATCACAGCTGTGTGTTATATATTTTTACATTAGGCCCAAAACTGAAAAAGACCATGCAAACAATGAGAGAAAAAAATATGACTAGGGCAGGAATTTGGGTATTTTCCTGCATTGTTTAAAATATTGTACAACTTTTAATTAACTTTTAAAAGTGGTATCACATAGTTTTAGTGTGAGTTCAAAATATGCATTTTGGGATCTCAGAGGTATTTCCACTTACATATTCATTGTCGTATTATTCACAATAGCCAAGATGTCAAAGTAACCTGAATGTCCATCATGGTTGAATGGATAAAGAAAATGTGATATAATCAGTCATACCTTGCAAAAGAAGGAAACCCTGTCATGGATTGCAACATGAACAAACTTGAGGTTATTATACTAAGTGAAATAAATCAGCCACAGGAGGACAGAAACTGGATGATTCCACTTATATGAGGTATCTAAAATAGTCAAACAGCAATTAAATCTGAAACTCTTTTGATTAGTCAATACTATATAATAAAACCCTAATATGCAAATTGACCAAACCAGGGAATAACTGTTCACTATGACACGCATTGACCACCAGGGGTCAGACACTCAACACAGGAGCTGCCCCCTGGTGGTCAGTACGCTCCCATAAGGGGAGCGCTGCTCAACCAGAAGCCGGGCTCACAGCTGGTGAGTGTAGCAACGGTGGTGGGAGCCTCTCCCACATCCACAGCAGTGCTAAGGACCTCTCGGGGGATGTCCGACTGCTGGCTTAGGCCCGAGGGAGCAGGCCTAAGCTGGCAGCCGGACATCCCCCAAGGGGTCCCAGACCATGAGAGGGTGCAGGCTGGGCTGAGGCCGCTCCCTCCCCCTGTGCACGAATGTTGTGCACCAGGCCTCTAGTATATAATAAAACAAAGGATTTTTTGGTACATTTATTTTTTTTTTAAGTCAAACTTATAGAAACAGAGTAGCATGGTGTTTCCCAGGGGTTCAGGGGAGAGGGAAATGAGGAGTTGGCATTCAACAGGTATAAGCTTTCAGTTATGCATGATGAGTAAATTCCAGAGATCTGCTGTACAACACTGTACCTAGAGTTAACAGTGATGTATTGAGCAGTTAAAAATGTGGTAGAGCATAGCTCTCATGTTAAGTGTTCTTACCACAAAATAGACATACGTATATTTCATATAGAAAATATGTTTTTCTATACAATATATTATTTTTATATTTTGTAAAAGTAGAAAGCATCCTCCCTGTTCCCCAATCTCAATCTGGTAATCCAGGAAGTCTTTTGGAAGAGCAGGTCCTGTGTTTCACACCACACGCTAATATTTTCCTCGGCTGCTCAGAATGATACAGCAATATGTACTTCTCTATAGATG